CCCCAAAACCCCAAAACCCCAAAACCCCAAAACCCCAAAACCCCTAAATGGGAGGAAGAGGTGGAATTAGTAATTAATTTTAGTTGTATGGAGAGTGATAGAGGGGAAAGTAGAGAGCAGAGTGTGGATATAGGGATTTGTGAGAGGCTTATTGAGGAGTTTAAGGTAAGATAAGGGGTTTTAGGGGTGATTTTTGGGATTTTTGGATGATTTTTGGTAGAATGAGATGCTGAAGGATTATAAGGAGAAGAAAATTGCGCATTTTGAGATGGTTAAAAGTGAGTTTGAGGTAAAATAATAGGTTGTCTAAAATAATGATGATGAGGCAACTGAGGGTACAAACAGTTTTGAGTATGTCCCATCTCAAGAGCTCTTTGACGCACTCAAGAAACTTTACTGTGGTAATTTTATCCTTAAGCTATTAGATAATGAAGCAATTTTTAAATCAAGTAAAGACTTATTCAAGAAGATAATGCAGTTGGTGAGTTTGGTCGGAGACAAAATGGCCAATCTGAATTACAATAATTGTATAACTTACTCATGCGTACTCAGAAATGTCAAAAATAATCCTTTGATGCTTGACATATTTGGAGATACTGTTGTATTCCAAGTAAGCTTACTATTAACATCTTAGCTTGAGCAAAGAATCACTGATATTGGGAAGCACCTTGATATCCTTGTGAAGAAGCAGACTCAAAAGAAGATTTCTCAGAGAAGAAAGAGAGTCAAGAAGCAGCACAAAGAAAATAGGAGGAGAAGACTATACCAAACAAAGCCATTCTACAGAAGGAATGCCAATCCAATGGAATCAAGAGCAGCAGTAAGACTTGAGACTGAATGCACCAAAAGAGGTAAATTTCATCAAAAAGCGAGTTTAATGTCTTTAGCAAAATGTAAGGAAACCTATCAATGGGAGGAGGAAGAAGAGCCAGGTATTTAATTAACATATCTTTAGTAGATTCTAGCTTGATCCAGCCAGTCAAAACTACCCCACCAATATCTAAAAATTAGAATGAAGAACTTGGTGAGTAAGCTTTGCTAAATCTCCTAGTATCTACTAAAATAAGTTTCTCACTAATAATATTCAAAATTTCACCTAATTTTTCAGATTTTTGCAAGAAAGGGGTTTTGGGGTTTTGGGGTTTTGGGGTTTTGGGG